ATGTATATATTGGAAAACGCTAAAAGTGTGTGTGTGTGTGTGTGTGTGTGTGTGTGTGTGTGTGTGTGTGTGTGTGTGTGTGTGTGTGTGTGTGTGTGTGTGTGTTATATTTATAATACATCGCAGAACATTTTGCGGTAAGCTTTACTGGCGTATTATTTGTGGGCGCCACTTTGAAGCCTTGGGCTTGATTCCGTGTGACGTCAACTGGTGTCGGGCGAGTGCGTCAGAGCGGGTGTAGCGCTGGTGGCACCCTGGGACATCACAAGCGTGCACTTTTTTCTCTGACGTCATCAGATGTGTGTTGCGATGCTGAAGCAAATAAAACAAATGGACTTAGCCTATGATCACCTTTGTAAAAAGAAAATTATAGTGATGTTATTGTAGGTGTTTTTACTTTAGGAAGCGGGCTCCTCTCCCTGCCTGTCTTACATATTTTATATATATTATTATATGATATATAGCCTATTATTATTATCATTTATATATGTGTTACACACACACATACACACACACACACACACACACACACACACACACACACACACAGGCACACTCACTCACTCACTGATCAGTTGATCACTCACACCATCACAAATGGCTTTAATTGTGCCTTATTTTGAACTTCAGCGATTACAACAAAAACAATAACTGCTTCCTCTGATATTCCAGAGCTCTGGCTATCCTTGCATTTTAAATGGCCTTGCACAATAATCCTAATGTTATATAGCCTAGAGATTTAATGTAAAACATGTCACAGTATAAGAACCGTGCCTTACACAATTTATGCTCTAAAACACCAAAGATGTCACCATTCATACTGTTGCAGGTGTTTTGTCTCTTTTGAGCATTTTAGAGAAAAAAACTTTTGCAGGAATACTTTGATATGGTTTAGATATGAAGTATTGAATGAACAAAAGATGCTACTTGGATTCTGAGGAAAAGGAGTCATCATGTTATGTATAGCACTTGACCAATTCCTAGGTCCTCTAGTTTGTTCTAAATACAGCCATATAGGTAGATATTTTATTGTAGCATTTATACATAATATATTTGTGAAAGTTAGTCACTTTGGCCACGTAAAACTTCGGAACCACTTAACTTTCTAATTTGACAAAATAAATGGGGGTTCAGTATCATTTAAAAGGTGCACAGTTCTATTGAGGAGCCTGAAGTCACTGTAGTTTAATTTTCAGTTTTTCATTAGTTTTGTTTAGATCTAATCTTGGAAAAGTCCATCTTCTAAGACGCCATTGTAAACAAGTGAGGTTTCCGTTCAATAGCCGTGCGTACTGTTTCCACACCTTTGAAATTATGGAGTGTACAACCACGAAAGCGGAATAGAGAATCAATCTATACGTCACTATATGGAAACCTTCTAATTTTTTGCATCTCTTAGGATTTATTGCTCCATTCTAGTAGAGTGTAAATGTAAGGCCAATGACTTTCAGTTGATGTTAGTGCATCGATCATCCCTTTCAACGAAAGGGGGCCCAGCTAGTTCAGTATAAGCACACTTGTCAGAGAAGAAGTAATTTATTCCTGATGTAGATACAAGGTAGTGCCAAAATGTCACAAGCGCTTTTAAGCCTAGGTTTGTCTCTTTTCTTTAAAGTTTTGTATAGTTGTGTAATGTTTCCTTTGTCCTTGCTCCAGGTAATCCAGACCGCACAGTCTACGGTGTTGGCCAGTATCCCAGAGATGACAGTGCTTTGGCCATCCACATGCCTGATGGAGCTAGCATTGATGGGCCTGTCCCTCTGTGTGTGACTGGATCAAAGAAACTGGCACCATGTTTCAGAACAGCTTTTAAAATCATGCCGTAAGAACAAATTGATTTTGATGTTGAATATGTGGGATTTATAGAGCTGATATGTAAGTCTAATCATTCTAGTCATAAAAATTAATCCATGGAGCAAGCTATTTATTAAGTTTTATGTCAGCATTAAATTATTCTATGTAGATGTTTCAATTGAGTTTTTATGTTTGTAGAGATGACAGTATTTCAGCTGTGTCGAGTCATTATTTCGTATGATATCATGTTGCTGTTGAAGACGATATAGGCTGTTTCATAGCCATGCTTGACTTTGAGGAAATATATGGAAGTTTGAGAAAAATTGTTGGGGTCCCTATGAATTTTCAGTCTCAAACTTTGGTTTTGCTGATCTTGTTCATGACTTACAGCAGCACCCCACCCAGCTGGCATGGTGTCCTGGCGTACTAAAATTGAGTGTATAGATGCTTACACATATATGATGTACCCATACATTGATCCACAAGTGCATGTATATATGGTCATAAAAGGACACGCTATGTGGGCTCAGCTTATAGTATGCTGGTCTGGTCTATGGTGAAATTAATGAGCCTGGTTTAAATCCTCAAGGGAGTATTCTTTTTAACTTAAGTTGTTTAAGAAGTTTTCCAGGCTCTCTACCCCAAGGCTTGGTCCTGTCCGAGGTTCTGCCTCTTAGATAACCACACTAGTATTGAAAGGGGTGTTAAACTCAAACCATACTGTGCTATTTTTCCACAGAGCTGATGCCTATGCCAAGATCGGAGATAAACTGCGCTATGGACAACCATTTTCTCTTGTGACTGCTGCAGATGGTGCTGGTTCTGTAAGTGACTATTTCTGATGTTAATACTGGGAACACTGGGAATTAATGTACCTTGTATTATAAATATTGTAACTTATGTATCTGGATTGAAGACCGTACCTTTCTTTTACTTTAAGTTTAGTCACTTTTCAGTTGCAATGGTGCCGGAGGACGAAAGCAAATCAAAGAGCCTTTCTTCACTGTATCTAAAACTGCTTGTACCCACAAACAGAACCATAGTACAAAGTAGTTTGTGTACCCTTATTTATAAACACGAATGAAGGAGGCCTTTGAGGATTGAATGCTATAAAAGGGCTGCAAAGATGCAGCATATTGCTGACTTTGTCACTGATGAGATGCATACACTTGCCTAGGCACACACTTTAACACACTCACACACACACTCATGCATGCGCGCACACATGCAAGCACACATACTAGTTCTATTTATTTGAGAGAAGTTCACTGGGTTCATCATACATCTCTCATGTAGTAGCTACAGTATAACATGGATAGCTTGAATTCATTGGGACTGGCCTCGGTAGTTCAAGGGATCTGTAGTTCGAGGGATACGATAACAGTGTTATGGCATCGACTGTGTCATAGAATTTGAAATTTGAGAGAATTTGAAATTGACACATTGAGAATGAGAAACACAATAGGCAACGTTTTTGAGTTCGATTGGTTATGAGCTTAACGGTACCAAGAAAGTTTAATTGCGTTGGTCAGTGTGAGCGGTCTTTAGTCTACACTAATCGAACAGTACCTTTTCAAATTTTTCAAAACAAACAGTTTGACAAGATAAGCATATAGAAACAGTAATCAACAACGCAATGATAAAACAATGCAGCGTTACCCCGCTTCTCCCACCAAACGCGCAGTCCTTTGCGAAGAGGGGTGGGGTGGCCCATTGTGTGATGTACAATCCTTCCTCTTGCCCGCTCCTCACAAGTCTAGCCAGGCCTAGGGCCTAGTCATGCGTGTCAAGCAGCATGCTAAAAATAGCCCAGCTAGCTGCTTCTGTGGAGGGGGGAAGGTGGTATTTTGCCGACCTTACCTCTTTCCGCTTTAAACAAATTATTATTTTGTCACAAGTGCACCTCAAAAGATATTGACTTTAGACCTCTAGGGAGGTGAAATTAGTTAGACTGTTCCATGTTTGTATTCGAGCTTCGCGTAATTTTCTTACAATGATAAAGAAGAAAAAAAAGATTAAGAGTCTTCTGTGCTCAACCTATCCATTGTTGTACTGTGGTTAACAAATTTGATTCAGGGATTCAGCTTTTCCCACCATCCAGTTTAGTTATTACTACAGTAGTCTCCGCCTAAACGCACGCCATACTAAAGCATGCTCCGTTCAAACGCACACTTTCGTCATCTGACAGGTTTTTTACTTTAAAATTTAGACGTACAAACGCATGGTCACTCCCTCTAAACGCACGCTCCGATCCACAAAACACGCCGACAAGTTAAGCTTGGCAAGGGGAAATTTTCTCTACAACCTGCACAGCCTGCATAAGACGAGCCTAGAAGTTACGAGAAAACCCGATTTTTGGTGAGAGTGCCCCTCATGCTGTACAAAGAGAGTGATGGACTGCGTTTACACACCCTACTTTTCACTGACGCATAGGTCTCGATGTTGGGGGGGGGATTGGGGGGACTAAAATGTTTTTTGATAGGTCACTGGAAATGTATCTTTGAGAGAAGGTTTCTGACTGGTCTTTGAGTGACTGCGTGTAGTAATGTTTAGTTAAATCTAGGCCTGATGCGCGACACGCGCGAATGCCGTAAAACACTAGACAGTAGACAGGCCTCTATAGGATTTTAAAGATTAGCCAAGTAAGCCTAATCAGCTGTACTCGAAGAACTTATAACATACTTGTTCAACAAATCACAAGAGAAAATGTTTCTCGGGGATGATTCTGCATGAATTTACGGTCGGGGCTGGTCGCTTGGAAAGCCACGTGGCTGGTCCGTCGTCTCTATGACTATGACAAACAGTTTCCTCTTAGGCTATCTGTTCCCGATGTTTACAGTGCATATTCATTACATTGGGCTTGTCTTTCTCCCCCCCCCACCCCCATTCAACGCCTTTGTATTCTTAACCCCTGTCGGAGAATCCTTCACAAAACAGTCACGTGTCGTCACATTATGTGCCAAAATTACCCCCTCCCTCCAAGGGAGGTCACTGGAGTAATAAGGAATTGAGATGACTTGCAAAGGTTCATGTAAATGCACGCTCCACATAAACACACGCTAAGGAGCCCTCCCGAACACCGTGCGTTTAGGCAGAGACTACTGTATATTTTTCTTTAATTGTCAATCAACACATCATTTATCTAACTTGCACTGAAGAGTTGCTTCTCTTCTTTTTATAAAAAAATTGATTCTTCGGTATATTGTAGAAGAGTAAACATGTAGAACTATCTACAGTCAGACATGGATAACTCAAACACATCGCAGATTGATATGTGTTTGACACATCATTAAATCCAGGTTAACTGAAGATAAAAATTAAAGAGATATCAGTCGAGGAATGGCAAATTATATGAGCTATCTGTGATTTTGAATTTTTCTTGTTCATGTTATCTGTCATCATCATCATCAATGCCTTTCACCCGTGACAGGGTATAGGCCACATACAAGCTCCTTTCATTTATCTCTGTCCTTGGCCATTCTTCCAAGTGAGCTTCATCTCTCTCAACTCTCATATCCCTTTCCACGCATCTCCGCCATGTTTCCCGTGGCCTACCCCTGCCTCGCATCATGCTCCTTGTGGGTTCCACTGCAGAGACTGTCTTTTGTATAAATCTGTACTCGACTGTATTTTTCAAAAGGCATGTTTGTGAAAAAGGCTGCCACCTTTTAAAAAAATGTTGCGTTATACCAGAAACTGACTTCATTAATCAGAGTCTATAGTTACTTTGCTGCACTATTATAGATAATACCTTCATATAGCTGAACGTGAATCTCAGGGGTTTTGAATTGCATCCTACTGATGTCTTCCTCAGCTGTTTTTGTTTTCCGACCAAGTTCTCTTCAACCGCTGCACAGACAAAGCCCGGCACCAGGTGGTGCAACTGGTCCCTGAGTGCTCCTTCAAAACTTCCTTCCAGATTGAGCATAAGAATCCCCTTCTTCGCTTGGAATTTGAGAATGAGCCAGTGATGGTAGGCATCCTAGCAGGCTCTCCTCTTGCTATTTCTAATCCTATTTCTAATCAATAATGTTTTGTTAAAAGAAAAGTTGAAGTTGAAGATAGATGATAAAACTTTCTTATCTTACTTCCACTATTCAATGTATCATGTATCAATGTTTCAGCTTAATGGGACTTGTAATTTACTGAGGTATGAGAAAATGCAATAAACTCTCATAAGCTAATGATTTACTTATAATAAAATACTGCTTTCATTTTTCAAAGTTATCTGCAGAATAATAGTGTAAGTTTAGATTTGTGAAGCATCGTGGTGAAATCAGGCGCTTGTCAAAATAGTGCAACCAAGCAAACAAGCCTTTTCCCACTGGTTTAACCATTTTTAGAACTTTTTAATATTTAGCTTAACACATTTTATGTCCATTTAGGAACTCATTTCTGGGTGAATTTGAGTGAAAAACGTTGATTAAAGGCACAAGATATGTATGTTTTCAGTTTCCAAGAATTCTCAAGCAAATAAAAGTCACCAAACTTTGGGGGCCATTTTCTCGCTAATTTTACCTCTGAAACCAAGTAAACCCCACCTCCTTCAATTACAAATATCTCGACTTTTATTGAAGATAGATGGGTATTTTTTTCATCATGAGCAATCTTTAAGATGAGATTTACAACTCTACATGCCCAAAAATTGACGAGTGCCTATTCCATCACATTGTGACACATTTAATATTTTTTCGTCTGGTAGAAATAACGACATAACATTTTGTGTTGCTAAATGACCAGAACCCCATTTCTGTAGAGGGAAAAATGACAAATGTTGTTTGCAGCAATAAAGCTAAAAGACAAAGTTAGTGTGTACAGGCCTTCTTATGTGTAGTTGTCAGAAGATAATGTTGAATGTGGTGTTTCTCAAAGAATTTCTTTTACTTATTTTCAACATAAGCGGGAGAGGGGAGCTCAGACTGTAAAAGAGAAATTCTTCAGAGAAGTAAAGTAAGAGCCCTTGAACTGTTGTTACAGACTTGCCAAAAACTTATCTTACAGAAAAGTGTCCAATAAAGAAAGTTCTCTAATTTAATTCTTCTCTAAATACACGCCCAATTCCCTTGTCCCCAGGCCAATGAGGAGTGCATTATTCAACACTGCAAAACTCACCAAAATTTATGTGTTGAGGAGAAACACTGCACACCGTGAGTATTGTTATATATATCCTGTGCCACAAATGTCATTTGCATAGTTTTGCTATAAATTTTTCTCATTGTGCATCAGGAAATCTGATCCGCTGAGTAAATTGAAATGTGTGAACGTATGATCAATTTTTAAAAATTTCTTTTTTGGGTGAATTCTCGCAACAATCAAGTTAATGTTATTTATTAGTGAGGATGGCTTCTTAAAAGGTAAGAGTGTGAGTCATCAGTGTTAAATGTCATATTTATATTTAAAATGCCCACTTTGTTCAAATTGTTTTGCTAATTTCATGTATTAAACAGAAATTACTTTCTTTCAGAGTTGAAGTAAGTTTTCTTTCTTTCTATGGTATTTAATCAAAAAAATTTAATCAAATATTTTTCTCATGGTTAGTTTCTAACATTCTTTCTTTTTCTTTTGCGTTGTGCCTTAAGGTATTGTTTTTCCCATATATATGCTAGATGGCCAAAATTGTATCAATGTGCTGACTCTTCTTATACTCAAAAAAAAGTTTTCTTTGTTTTCAACAGGACTTTGTTTGGAAATGAGTATGAAATCTCGGCGCACACCAATCTTGACAGCCACAAAGCAGATCTGCCTGTGAACCGTTGGATGTTAGTCATGGCTGTGGCTGGTGATCCAAACTATCCCTTGGCCCTCAGCCAGACTGGGGATCAGGTAGCAGCAGAGATTAACCCTTCAGTCTAGCCATCAGTTTAGTCATTGTCAAGTGTAAAAGAGACAATTCAAGCTTTGGAGAGATATGAGTATGTTTGAGTACCTTGCTGATGCTCCTCAAGGAGTATTCGTGGGTCTACTTCATTAATTGAAGAACAAAAAATTTAACTCAAATGACAACTTTCCCTTTTTTTCTCCCAACCCAAAATTTTTAAAAATATTCGATAACACTTCCTCATCCATTATGTATGTTATCAATAACAACACTTTCAAACAATGATGTGTTATGTATTTTTGTTTTCTATGGGTTGTCAATATTTGAAACTCAAGTGTAGGGAAATATTGGTTCAGAGAATGTTTTTCTTAATTTACAATAGCATGTAAAGCAATATATACATTGTGCACGTAATGTGTGGGGAACAAATAAAATGTTTAACTTTTTCTTTTCCTGAATGAAGTTCCAATTGTTTTTTGTTGTGTTTTTTTTCAATTATATATATATTTAACAACTTTTGCTCCCGTATTTCATGATTGAGAAGGTTAGGAGAAAAACCTCTGATTTTAATTAAAAAAGGTTCTTTTGTCATTATTTATATTGTTGTGTTTCATCATATTGCTGTGGGTTTTGTCTTTTTAATGACATACCTCATAATGAAACCTGAAGTTTTCTATGACTTACATGTCATCCTGCCTGATTTTAGCTCAATAATAAAATGTCAGTGTTGCATATTTTCATCAGTTATAGTCTTCTTGGAATGTACAAAACAAACTGTAACAGAAAATCCTGAAAATAATGTTCTTTGAATGAAGATTTTTTTAAAATCTGCATATGTGTACACCTGTATAGCCCTTGTCAACGCTAGGGAAATAAAACAAAGCCGTGACATATTGTTAACCAAGTGTTAATTCATGATTGCCTTTCAAAAGTTCACAAAAAATAGATGCACTTTTATCACATACTTGTTTTCCAAAACTTTTCAATTCTGTGTTCACCAACCTACTCCTCTTAGACATTATCTCTGCTCACACTACCTATATCAAATTTCACGTATCATGATGAAATTGTCAAACACGTATTATAAAATATATGAGCACATATGCACACACCCAATTACACAAACATGTTTTCTCATATATAGCCACACATACACAAATGCACCACCAGCCTCTGTGATGTAGCAGTTAGACGCTTTGCTGTCAACACAGGAGACCAGAGTTTGATTTCTGAGTTTGGAGAATTTTTATCAAGTATCTTGGTTTTTTCTTCTTTAATGTTGTATCCCTCTCATCCCAGGTTGGCGGTGATGGGCAGGTTGGAAGCTTGCCTCCTAGATCTAATATTTTAAACTGTGTTGATGTAAAAAACAACTGCATTAAAAAAATAGTTTTAACATGTGCACGCGCACACTCAAACACACACACACACGCACACACATGCACACATGCACTCCCACATGCTCACACATACACACCCAAACGCTCACTTAAACACACATTCAAGTCTCAACTACTTTTGTGGATGTGAACGCATACAGTTTGCATTCTACCTACCCTTTGAAATGCAAAAACATCATTCTAGATTAATATCCATTCTCTCTAGCTGTTGTCAACAGACACAAAGATTCATATACACTTTATGCAATGGACTAATGTAGACAAGGGTGTCAAACTCAATCACACAAGGAGATAAATTCTTAAGGTAGTGAATTGAACTGAACCTACACACATTGAGTAACAGAAAACAACTTTCTGTTAAAAGCAGCAAAATGAATTAAAACACAAAAGTTATAATAATTAGGCATACTAGTCTAACCATACCAATCGCTTTGCTCTTAAGCCACTTTGTCAGTGTTGGGTGTTTGGCATCTTTTCTTGGCCTCATTAAGTTCGTAGTTTATGTTATGAATAAGGTTTTTTTCTGGAGATTCTCAGTATGGACTACATAAAGTTTTCTCGTAGGCCGGCTATAATTGTTTGACAGGCCAGATTCGGCCTGCAGAATTTGAGTTAGACACCTGTGATCTAAACAGTATTTTTTGAAGATATCTTACCTCCATTTTTAAAAACACCTTACTCTTTAGAGAGATTAACTTATCATGTATACAAGTGATGAAGTGCTTGTACTTGTACGTTTGTCTTCATGACTTTATGAATACATGTATATTATAATCACAACGTGATTCTCCGTGAAGGAGGACAGGGATAGGGTTTGAGTGATAGAAATAGATGTGAGTTGATCTGGGTTTTACAGTAGGTCGGGGTTATGGAGGCCATTCCGCACATTAGGGATAAAGATAGAGATTAGACAAGACTCAACAGAAAAATGTGTTGGTAGTTGCGACCCTGAGTCACTGCCTGAGGCATAATATTAGGCCAACGCCTTCAATCCCTCCTATCCCCCTTTCCATTTTTTAAAGCAATGTATATATTGGAAAACGCTAAAAGTGTGTGTGTGTGTGTGTGTGTGTGTGTGTGTGTGTGTGTGTGTGTGTGTGTTATATTTATAATACATCGCAGAACATTTTGCGGTAAGCTTTACTGGCGTATTATTTGTGGGCGCCACTTTGAAGCCTTGGGCTTGATTCCGTGTGACGTCAACTGGTGTCGGGCGAGTGCGTCAGAGCGGGTGTAGCGCTGGTGGCACCCTGGGACATCACAAGCGTGCACTTTTTTCTCTGACGTCATCAGATGTGTGTTGCGATGCTGAAGCAAATAAAACAAATGGACTTAGCCTATGATCACCTTTGTAAAAAGAAAATTTTAGTGATGTTATTGTAGGTGTTTTTACTTTAGGAAGCGGGCTCCTCTCCCTGCCTGTCTTACATATTTTATATATATTATTATATGATATATAGCCTATTATTATTATCATTTATATATGTGTTACACACACACATACACACACACACACACACACACACACACACACACACACACACACACACACACACACAGGCACACTCACTCACTCACTGATCAGTTGATCACTCACTCACACGCTCACATTCTTTGCCGTAGCTCGGCTGCGAAGTTTGTAAATCTTAAGCAATTTTGCCATGTTCATCTTTTTTCATTGTACTTCGTTTATAGCCGTGCAACGAGTAGAAAGGTTTCTATAGTGTTCGTGAGGTTTTAAATCACACTCATAAATTCGAACCCCGGCATCTAACACACATCAACTGAACCTTGTAGCATGACGATGACTTTTACTTATAAGTACTTAGCGGAATTTTTCTAAGAGTGGTCTATGCCCCACATTATTTTTATGCAGGTGTTTTTACGACCCCATTGGCACAATTTAAATCAGTTAGGAGGCGGGCTTTCGGTCCTGTCTGTTAGGGCCAACTCGGGCTGAGAGGGATACAACACCCCTGTAGAAAGAGCGAGATAGTCGGTAACACTCTAACACGGTACCCCAATTCGGGAATTGAATTCGGTTCTCCTGCATGCGACAGCGAAGCGCCTTACTAACTGCTGCACCACAGACGACGGTAAACACCCACAGAAAAGGCATCTGAGTAAAGGTTACATGCTGGTGGCTGGTGACAGTATGAAGCTGTTGTGGAGTGGTTTTAGTGTCGGAAACGCGGGAAAATCAAGCTTTTAGTGAGGTATCTTCACAACGATCTAGATCTTTGCAGTAAAATTGACCGATTAAATATTGCATGTATCATGCATTGTCGCAATATCTATTTATCTATTCATCCATCCATACATCCATCCATCTATCTATCCAACCAACTATCTACCCATATCTGTACTTCCATCTATCTATCCATCTATCTATCGAGAGCTGTAATTTATCGCTCATGCGCCAGTGGGGCTGCCAATACAGTAAAGGCGTTGCCTCTGACGATCGTCAGAGAGATTCTTTTGTAACAACCACCTCATCTCCCGTGGGTCACCTGTGGCGTTTGTTCACCGACGACGAACTTTCTGGAAGAACTGGGTCGTCAGGGGACCGAGAGCGCCGGATGTTTCGACGGCCAATGGGACGAAGTGGTAGCGGTCGCTGAGGCCTTCGTACTTTCTAATTTTGGGCTCCTCTGCCTTCTTGGCGATACTGTCTTCACAACTGTCTTTTTTTAATTAAACAAAACTCTCGGTGCCAAGCTATGTCCTGAAGCGTCCATAGCAGTGTTGCTTTAATTAATAGAATACGGAGATAAATAGATAAACCTCTACAGCCCTCACGTTGTAAAATATATGAATATCATTTAAGCAATATAATATTATTATGCTGGTTTTTTTATGGCAAGAGAACAGACAATTTAGCGACTACAGCAATCAGCGCTTTGCCATTACGCTATCCCAGAAGTACAGCTGTGCTATTATGCTCAGTACCTACTTTTGAGAAATTTGAAGTAAAAAAACTTTGAGTTTCACAAAATGTCATTCTTTTATTATCTTGATAACGTCTCTGAATAATCTTACGATTTGGTTTCTGAACTCATGGTCTTAGTAACTCAAAACAACCAAAGATGTCCCATAGAACTTTGTAATTCTTGGTTTTCGCCATGTTATTTGAAAACACAAACGGAAAAACCTTCTTCAAGAAGGATGAAAATCTGGACCTGAAGGCGGAATCCGTTACCTTATTCAGGTGGTCTTTCCTCCCAAACGCCTTCCCGCACACCTGACACTCGTGTGGTCGGTGACCGGAGTGGATTCTTTGATGCCGGGTCAGCTCTTCTTTTCGCGCGAAAGCCCGACCACAGTCACATCGGAACGGTCGTTCACCTATGGGTCGGGATTTTAAAAGTTGACAATTACCAAGATGATGGACTAGACAAAACCTAATAGATTTTTTTTTTTTTGGGGGGGGGGTGTTTGTTGTGTGTGTGTGTGTGTGTGTGTGTGTGTGTGAGAGAGAGAGAGAGAGAGAGAGAGAGAGAGAGAGAGAGAGAGAGAGAGAGAGAGAGAGAGAGAGAGAGACAGAGAGAGAAAGAGAGAGGGAGAGAGAGAGGGGGGGAGAGAGAGAGAGAGGGAGAGAGAGAGAGAGAGAGGGGGGGAGTTAATGACTATTGGGAGTTAATGACTATTAGGAATTCTAAACAGTTTTATGTCTGAAGTGTGAGTTTGTTCTATAAGACTTGTGTATTTCAATGGTACATAGAGAGGCAGGAGAGATAGAGCGATGAGACATGGGGTGAGAGAGATAGAGAGAGAGAGAGAGAGAGAGAGAGAGAGAGAGAGAGAGAGAGAGAGAGAGAGAGAGAGAGAGAGATTAATAACTATAATACTATATGGTGGATAAAAAAATGTATGAATGAAATTTTTCTTTGTGCTACAAGAATGGTGTGTGCATTTTTTTTTTACGGAAGAAGTGCGTGCCCTATTTCATTCATTCCACTCCCCACCTATGAATACCTATCTGTGTGTCTGGCTGATAGTGAGATAGATAAAACGAGGAGTGGATAGGACCTATAATAGCCTGTTAACTTAGAAACACAGAATAATAATATTAATAATGCGAAGGTAGATGAATAGAGTAGAGGCTTGCATTAAATTCTGCATAGGTGATGCAATGGGAAATTCTTTGTCTCTTGCACAGCAATGCTAAATCTCTGACATGACCCGTCTTCTACAATATCAATATCAATCTGAATATACTCATGGAAATCTATATTAAGTACCGTTTAAATTTACATTACCCTATCTCGAGGGCCAGTGCTACAGGTGGACCAGTAATCAGAATCGATATTATTATACACGTACTTCATCATTAAATTTCATTGCTATCTGTGTCGTGGGTGGTGTTCCGCGTACTCTATAGACGTAAATAGTGTTTGCAGTATATTATTATGTCAAGTAACCAATTCGCGAAACTGAATGTACATCTATACTTTCTCAAGATAGTTCTTTTTTTTAAAAATCAGCAGCTTCTTCACATACAAGAACTATAAGAATTACATTAATTTTGATCGAACGAAGCAAGAACCTACCTGAATGTACACGAAGATGCTTTTTCATTTTGACGGCGTTATAGAAAGTCATCTCACAAAAACCACACATGAACGTTTCCTGGCTTGGCATTGTATCAATAGGTAGGGAATGCTCCTTAGAGTTATAATGTAAGACTGGACGTACAGTATTCCAGAATTGCTCATTCCTAGTTTTTTCTGTGTGCCTACCATGAAGATGATGGTACTCGTCGTCTATGAATGTCTTTCGGTAGTGTTGGTCGCAAACCGGCAAAGTGCTGTCCACATTCTGAAAGGGAGAGAAATAATATTCCTTGGGAAATGATGCTAGTGGGAAGACATGTTGGCCAGTTCCCAATAACTGAGAGATGGGTTGTATATTGTTCTTACCCAGACGAGCCAACTGAAAGGACATTTCACAAACAGCACATGACGGATGACTTACAGTGCTTATAGTCTGGCCACCAGTAACGTTATAATATTGTTCAAAGCGCTGCCTTGAAGGACTCACGGCCTCCCCATTCTTGTATCTCCGAAAAGCTGAAGTGCGTACTCTTCTGAAAGCTGACAAGCCATGGCTGTCATCTGCCATTTGGGAGCAGGTTGGCTCCTTTTTTTTCTTCAAGTCGTTTTCTAAGATGTCAAATGTTTTCCCGATACTGGAAGCGGCGCTGTCACTGTCCTGACGTGGACACATGTGCTCGTCACAATTGTTACTATCGGTGAGTTGAGTTTTATTATGACTGCAGATTGTAGGTGAGCCGCCGTTATAGATGTCACTTGAACAATATGGTGACGACTGGAGTTGATCAAAGGAGGAATGACCAAGGCTGGATTTACAACAGGGATTGTCAGTTCTTCTTTGTGCCTCATCTTGGTCAGTTGTCGGAATCTGTGTGTCTGGACGTTGATAAATGAGAACAGGTTTGAACATTTTGACAGGTTCAACATGCTGTGTGAAGTGTTGGTGATTGTAGTACAATGGCTGCCCTTCATAGAAATCAAGAGCCCTGTCTGAGAACGTTGAAAAGTCACCTGCAGCTTTATTGTACAAAAACGGCATGAAGGTGTTAGCAGGCGATAGGTCGTTGTGGTAAGCATCGTTCATCTCATGGGGAACAGTTGCTGTTTTGGGTGTGTCCCTCGACAGACTGAATTCGTTGATATTAGAGTGGCCAGCATCGTCCAATTTTCCTCCCAGCGACATTTCGCCAGTTTCAGTCAGTGTTTCCCGAGCAAGAATTATAAAATGTTCGTTGTTGCACACACTAGTTTCCCTTTCTTTGCTCGGAATCAATAATTGGTTATCATCCTTTTTAGCGTCATAAACAGAACTTTGCGCTCTATAGTGTTAACCTTCACAGCGACAAGTACGTTTGTGTCGAAAAGTGGCTTTGGTATTTTAGCATAATGAAAAGGGGGCGTGTCTTAATTTCAATTCTAAATCTATGTTTGGACAGGTTCAGCTGACAAGAAACAAGCCTGCGCTGTGTGATTTGGGGTTATCGGGCACCCAGCCTCGGAGGTGAACTTCAGCACTAAAATTAGTGCGTAGAACAGAAAGTGAACTCCAGTTTATCACTTCAATGTTCATTATCTATCTGCCAACACTCATTACGATCACGGCGGATAACCCAGCACAGTGCTTGTCATCTCAAGAGATACTGCCCATACTGTTCTCACGTGATCATCCTTCTCGTTGAAGGCCCAGCTTAAACCCCCACTTCTCGCCCACAGGCTGACGGTTGAAACAAAGTAATTCAGAAGATACGGCAGCGCTTCTCCTCTAGTCAAAAAACGATATTATTAGTATCATATAGACAGCCACTTTCAAGCACCTTTCTGTTATCTCGATAAGTTGGGTTTTCTGGTGTATCACATTGAAACCTGAACCTGCATGTTTTGAGGCGCAGAGAAAACATGTTATCACATTGACAATCATATCAGAGTTGCAAAAAAATTAGATATCATATCTGAAAGATAGAAAAATTGCAGGAAAAGGAAAATACAAGTTGCAAATATTATGCTTTTTATTTCTATTATCACTGGCCTTTGCAAGTGCAAGAGAGTAGGAGAGGCGAGATGGGTAGATGGATACATAGAGTAACTTGATATAGATAATAAAGATATATACACAAGTAAGAGGGACAGTTGCGCTTCGTTAAACTTTACACATATCCCTTTAAATTATGAACAATCCTGTTTAGTTTCAAGAGCAGACTATCACTGTTCTATTTTAGTGGTCGCTCGAAACGGATATTGGCGTTTATTTAATGTTTATTTTGTTCTGTGAAGCCAATGTTTACCACACTGCAGACAGTTTTTTCCCAAACTTTCTAATCAAAGGATGAGTTTATATTATAGTTCTAGCAAAATGATTTGTATCATGAAATGAAGTAGCTTACCATCTTTTTTTTCACGCCGACTGGAGTCTGTGGGAGGATGTTTATTGGGGTTTCCCGGCCCACCAGCAGGATCAGTGTGTTTTTAAATGAAATCACAGACAAATGATAGGAAGTAAACGTACTTCAAGAATGTGTTTTGCTATGAAAGGTATCATAACTAGATTCTAGATCTAGGTCTAGATCTAGATCTATACTCTAAACTTTGAAAATTAACAGTAAGTTACTGTTTGCCTTCTTAATAACTCTCAAATGCTTACTTCGACTTTTAAGTTGTTGTTTGTTTGTTGTTGGTGGTTTTGTTGTTGTTGGTTGTTTTTGGTTGTGTTTTTAGGGGGTGGGGTGGGGGTGGAGCAGATATCTCATGATTATGATCCGATAAGATATCAGGAATAAAGGGTAAAAGGTGGGTGCTTACTCCTTACTGGTCTTTGTTCCATCGTTCTCATGCTTTCAGAATCTTCCACTCATCTTTTAGAACGCTTTGCAAAAGGATAATCTATCACTTAAGTGAAAGAGATTAGATATATCCGATGCTTTTTAAAAAATAAAATAATGATAATAATAATAACAATAATAATAACAATAATGAAAATAATACTGATAATAATAATACTGATAATAATAATACTGATAATAATAATAAATAGCATTTAGATAGCGCATTTCCACAAAAAAAGCGCTCAATGCGTTGTACCATAATACAAAGACATTAGCGCACAACATATATTACATAGTAATCCTCTTTCTCTCTCTCTCTCTCTCTCTCTCTCTCTCTCTCTCTCTCTCTCTCTCTCTCTCTCTCTCTCTCTCTCTCTCTCTCTCTCTCTCTGTCTCTCTCTCTCACTCATTCTATCTTTGTCTTCGTCTCTGTCTCTGTCTCTGCCTCTCTCTTTCTCTCTCTCTCTCTCTCTCTCTCTCTCTCTCTCTCTCTCTCTCTCTCCCTCCCTCCCTCCCTCCCTCCCCCTCTCTCTCTCTCTCTCCCCCCCCCCTCTCTCTCTCTCTCTCTCTCTCTCTCTCTCTCTCTCTCTCTCTCAGGAGCGAAGGCTGACTTATTTGACAGGGTAATCAAAGAGAGATGGGACCAGATAGGGCCTGGAGATATCACACAAGAATCTTACTCGAGGCAGATATGTCAGTAATACAGTATGTAATACCAGGGAGACTAAACTCTCAGGTAGAACATGACAATTATTATTTATTTTTTATTTTTACATTTGGCTGTTTTATTCTAGCGTTTCGCGGCCAGGAGCCAGTGTCATAATCGAGGTCACGATCTGATTATAGGACGGTAAAAAGTCGAGGGGCAAAAAAACAAGCACTCGCAGCAGTCAAGATATTATTGGGAATTAGCTCCCCTCATATCAGTGAGGTAGACTCGACCAGTGTAATAGTTCGTTTACATAATCAGTGCTTGTGACTGCTTATAACTGTGACCCGAAAGGGGTGAACAGGGTATATGTGGCAATGAAACAGTTTTGACTGTTGCCCACATGTTCCCTTCAACTCTTTTGGTAGACTCTTCATGCCTCACTGTAAGCTTGCTTAATCAAAGCTTGCGACTGCTTATGGAGTGGCACGGTAGAGGTGAACAGGTTATTTCTGTGGCAATGAAACCCTTTTGAATGTTAGGAATACTGTTCATTGGTGATTATGAGCGTCTTTTTACATTTAATTTATGAGGTTTACGTCTATGGGTGAATTTGACTGCGGCAATGTTCCAAATTAGGAAGGGAAGCAGTGATTATTTGATTATACAGACGCTTCGCCAGTGCTCTCTCTCTCTCTCTCTCTCTCTCTCTCTCTCTCTCTCTCTCTCTCTCTCTCTCTCTCTCTCTCTCTCTCTCTCTCTCTCTCTCTCTCTCTCTCTCTCTCTCTCCAGTACATCCTTGAGTTAAGACAAATCCACAAAAACTTACCTAGACACCCTCGTACTCGTACAAATTGATGACATCACACAGTCATAAACTGTTACAGAACAGAACAGCATGCATAAACGATACTGAGAAAACAATAGATACTGAGAGGAATAATAATATTTGTATTGGGAATGTCGGAAATAGATTGAAGCTGGACTGAAACAAATGCGTTTAAAGGGCTGATTTGAATTTCATTAAAAGTGGTAGACTCCCGTAGATGAGCTGGCAAAGAGTTCCACCGGTAGGGGGCGTGGTGTGAAAAAAGCTCTTTTTCCAAGTCTCTGACTTTTGTTTTAGACCGATCTTAAAGGCTGAGATGGTATATTCGATGACCATGTCACAAATATATGATGGTGCACTGTTGTTGACGCACTTAAAACATAGAACAATTATTTTGTACTGAATTCTAGATTTAGTACAATAATAATATGTTTCATTATAGCCTAACAGAGTTGGAAACCTTCTCGGGCACGGCATAAAGGTTTTAATGCTGGTCTTTTGTTAAAAAATGTTCAAAACAGCACGAGCCTTTATAGTGCCTTGGCACTGGTGCTAGTGGTGCCCATTTTATGACATGACTCCTGCAGTAATTGAGGTCTTCACCCCGAAACGTTTCACAGCAAGAATGTTTCATGACAGTTACTGCCGGTAAACAAAATACCGTGAAGTTCCTTATATAATAATATCATTCAGCAGAAACTGCAAACCAAAAAATGAGTGAAATGATATTGATAAAATGTTTATGTTCATTACATTTAAAACGTATCGTAAGGTTAAAAGTTAATATAGCACGTTCCCTTACAGTACTCTGGTCTTGGCGACCTCATGACCGTTTGGACTCGAAGTGCCCCACGTTTTCCGAGAATGATAATATGCAATTAACTTGGTCACACATACTTATTTTAATAATAATTATCATTGCCGCACTGATCTGCCTTCTGAGGTCTTTGTGACAGTGTTGAACGTGCACCGAGGCGTTGTGAGCTCAACGAGGGCCATACCAGATTGTTGGGTTGGGGGGAATACGTGTAATTTGAATTTTAACATAATATTCTGTTTGGGGATCATGCGTGTCTCTTTGTCTTTTTTGGCCTCGTTCTATCGGAGATATATAAAACATAGGGGATTTAACCCTAACAAAAATGTAAAAACTTGACTCTGCTCAAAAGGCCACTGAGCTTAAACAGTGGGCCTTCTACTAAACAGTGCAACATATCACAAACTGGTAATTTTGATATGGGTGTATTTTAATAATAGAGATCCGAAATAACAAATTACACAAAATCACTGGGAATTGTTTAAGTACACACTATGCAAAGCTACCACCACTGACAGCACCCAAACCAAAAGAAAGCTAAACTAACGGACTGGTTGTTATGGCAGAACTTACAGAAACAGCTACTCAAGTGAGCGTTTGTACCAGTTGGGGAGAATGTCTCATGGAACTGAACACAAGGAAGACGCAGGAGAACTCTATGAATTCTACGCCAAACCTGCTCACGGTAAGTTCTAATAATAATAATAATAATAATAATAATCACCATCATCATCATCATCATCATTATCATCATCATCATCATCATCACCATCATCATCATCATCATCATCATCATTACCACCATCATCATCATCATCCAGTGCCAGATCTGCGACAGACATCGGCGATCATGGTTCTCCATGTATTCCTTTTCTGGGATGCTCTAAAAAAAAGCTACGTTTCCCTGATCGTTCCCTGTTACCCATTTGTTTAGGTTCCTAAAGTATGTTGTTCTGGGCTTACCCCTGATTCGTTTGCCTTCAATTTTGCCAGTGAGAGCTAGATGTTCAAGACCCTTACGTCTGTTCAGGTGTCCCAAAAACTACATTTGTCGTTTCCTGATTGTTTTTAATCATAATAATAATAATAATAATAATAATAATAATAATAATAATAATAATAATAATAATAATAATAATAATAATAATAATAATGATGATGATAATAATGATGATGATGATGATGATGATGATGATGATGATGATGATGATGATGATGATAAGTGAGTCTTATTCTTATAGGAGAATGAAAATGTGTTCGGCACAACTTAGTTTTATTTACACCTATATTATCAACCAGTCGTTGTTGACACATGCTATTCCCACTATTTGGAAATGTTCTGAAATCGTCCCCCTTCCAAAGAAAGAAAAAATTACTGAAATGAATGACCTAAGGCCAATAGCCTTAACATCGGTAGTTATAAAATGTCTTGAAAAAAATGTACTAAAAAGACTACCAACGTACATAGAACCCATCCAGGACCCCCTACCATCTGCATATCGTCACGGGAGAAGTGTGAAAGGCGCCATTTTACTATTTCTTGACAACATATATAGACACTTAGACGAGCCAAAAACATACTATAGGATCCTGTTTGTTGATTTTTCGTCAGTCTTTAATGCTATCCAGTATCCAGCCAGCTACCCTTTTAAATAAACTAGAAAACATAGGTGTTAACATCAATTTAATATCTTGGAACGGCAATTTTCTTACCAACCGAACCCAGTATGTAAAATTAAAACATTCTTCATCGACATACATCACAACAAATACAAGGGCCCCTCAAGGATGTGTTTTGTCACCAGTTTTATTCACACTATACACGAACGATGGTCAAATAAACAACAGTAACATCAAGTTGATAACATTTGCAAATGATTCAACCATAATTGGGCTAATTCAGGCTGACCATAACGAAACCGCTTACTGGAATTTTGTACTTTGCTTTTCTGAATGGTGTGAAAATCATAAGCTGCTTTTAAATGTGAAAAAAAACACCCAAAAGAACTTGTAGATTTTAGAAGAAAGAAACTGCCCCTGCAGCCACTCGAAATTAAATGTGAAAACATCGAGCAAGTGTCAGACTATAAGTATTTGGGTGTTACAATAGACAACAAACTCAACTGGCGTGTCCACACTTCTCTCCTGCATAAAAAAGTGAACAAAGGACTATTTTTTCTAAAGAAGCTAAAGTATTTTAAAGTTGATAAAACATTGATGTCCATGTTCTACCATTCAACCATAGAAAGTATGATCAATTTTTGAATAGCAGCATGGGAAAGGAACACAAGACAACAAGGTAAAGAAAAATCAAATCGACTAATACGGAAAGCATGTAAAATTTCAACATCTACATTCCCCTACTTGGATGAATTTTACATAACAGCTTGCACTAAAAATATTAATTCCATCTTTTTAGACAACAAACATAATAATAATAATAATAATAATAATAATAATAATAATTACACTTTTATTTGTCCCAGAAGGGTACTTTGTTTTACAATGGCAAACATACATACATAAAGACATAATTATAAATACGTACATACATAAATACATACATGCATAAATACATACATAAATACACACTATTACACAAATACAGAACAGTTTACAAACAATGCCACTGTCGGTCGCCACTGTGCAGCGCCCTGCAATTTGAGCTGGGGTTGTCGTGTCTTGCTCAAGGACACACCCCAGTGACCACCCATCTGATCCCCGTGTCACCGACACTTGCTTGACATTGCTTGAGTCAAAACTCACTACTCACTTAGCCACTGGAGCCCCCATCCCTTGTTCCCTCAAATAAAAACATCAGTCAGAAGTAAAAGACCTAGGCTTCTGATCTGTAACAAAGAAAGATAGGTCTACAGAAGACAGAAGGTCATTTTTACCATCATCAACTATCTTGTATAGGTATACTTACGACCTTAGAGCATGCACCAAAATAACATTGAGTGTGTATCTAGCTTACGATTATTATTTTTTATATTGCTGCTCATTTATATTATGCATGTGTGCGCGTGTGTGTATGTGTGGGCGTGTGTGCGTGCGTGCGTGTGTGTGTGTGTGTGTGTGTGTGTGTGTGTGTGTGTGTGTGTGTGTGTGTCTGTGTGTGTACACTTGGTGAAACACCAAACCAATGTGCCAGGATCTGGACAATACAGATGTATCTTATCTTATCTTACCTTATCTACATGTAATACGTTGTATGTGGTTGCGTTCTGCCAATTGTCATTTTATAACAACACGAATTAGCTTCCATTTCAAAATGTGTCACTTGTGCTTTAAAGAACAATATGTTTTGTTACTGTGGATAGGGAACAGGTGCAGGGGTTTGTGGCAGAAAAGTGGAGTATTTGAGGAGCAAGGGGGAAAAAAAAAGGGGGGGGGGGTAATGTAAAAATCACCATTTAATTTGCTTTTGGGGACAGGGGGAGGGGGATGTTGAGACACATGCAGTCATATTATAGTTCTTAACTACCATACGAGAGCTCGGAACTCCCGCATTTTTATGTGTGTCCTCTTGGTGTCTCTTGTATAGCCTACTTCTTTACTGCCCAACCGCTGCCTTGCTTTACCACAGCAGTAAGACAAAAGCACTGCGATTATCTTGTTATGCATGAGCTCAGCACCAAATTATCCCCAAACCTTTTATGAATTTGTATTTCTCGGAAATAATCAATTCTCAGAGTTTCATACCTATTACAGACTTGCCAGTCTACGAGAACCCCGCGAGTGTGACGATCAATCGACGACACAGCCGGAGTCCACATTCCCATGCTCATGACGATAGATTACATGGTAGGCGTCTGTGGTACTGTAGTGTAGCGGTTTAAGGCTTTTCCCGTCGCACGCTGGAAAACCGACTTCTTTTCCGGAGTGGGGAGAATTTTTATCGAGTATTTCGGTCTTTCTGCCGTAACAAGATCGTGGGGCTTATCCAAGACCATTCTTCAAGGAACTGTGCAGGGGAGGAGAAGGAGAAGGAGAAGAAGGCAAAGGGAGAGGTGAACCGACAACATTGCAGAGAGGACAGGGAAATCTTTCGCCAAAACTCAGGCGCTCACATAATTTTTAAAAACGTGAAAAGTGGAGGCAGCTGACGTGGTTTACTGTCATACAGCGCACCTACGATCCTATGGGATGAGTAAGATGTAAGCAGTAATTAGCTGGGATGGTGTATCCCTTTCAGTCTGGGTTGGTCGTGGCAGGCAGAGTCGGACGTCTGCCTTCTGGATGATCCAAACTGTGTCGAAGGAGAACATTAAAAATTGTCAGATTTCGTGCCGATCAATCTATTCAGTGGGTATTTGGCGGGTGCTCTGATATGGTTTGCTCCTTCTTTCCAATCAAACATCTATCGTCCTTATCTTTCCTCCTTCTTTTTTGTGTATGTTACTCTCTTGTAGCACATTGATTCTTCGGCACTTATACGACCTCATTGTGTAGCAAGTGCCGTAAAACTATTACTAAAACTAAAACTAACAATCTGTTCATCGAAGATCTTGTCGATTGTGCCCAAAACAAAAACACACCCATCTGAAACATCAATGGGAGGGGCCAGTGTAGGAAACAGTATACATGTATGTAGGTCTATTTGTGTCTATAGGTATGCAGGCATTGGGACATCATGCACAGAAAGTACGGCTATCAAGAGATGGCGTTTTACTCCCTCGATCTATGTTCTCATTACTTTTTATGGGGCTCGAGTCACTCACTGAGTACGAGGTCTGCATGCTCCCAGCAATAGAGAATCTTTGCTCCCAGTCTACTTTTTCCTGGGCTAAAATTAGATACTCGAACCAGGGTTAACAATCGTCCTTTGGTTTGATGTGGGAATAATGAGCAAACACTCTTCACAGACTGTGTGACAGACGCTTTGCCAATTCTAAATTCGAGCGAACGCAATGTGATGGTCCAGAAGTTCACTCAACAAACACATTCCTCATTTCATTCTCTCATCTCTCTTTCTCTATCTCTCCTCGTACGTGTGTGTTTGTGTGTGTGTGTGTGTGTGTGTGCGCGTGTGTGTGTGTGTGTGTGTGCGCGCGCGTGCGTACGTGCGTGTGTGTGTGTGTGTGT